GGGGTTTAACAAGAGTCTGTGGTTGCACAGGGATGCAGATGAGCCGGAGAGGAGAGAACTGGACTTGTTAGTGAGGGAGACCCAGGAGGAAGAAACTCCACATTCTCCCTCAGCGAGAGTTATGGCAGCATCGAGTCTAAGACCCTGTTTTAAGAGTCCTGGCATCCTTAGTCACTAAATTCTCCGAAGGCAATCCCTTTCCAATCCATATAAGTGTCTTCCTGCTTCCATGTTATGTTATCGCACGTCAGGTCTTCCTACGACAACAGACTGAAAGCCAATAGTTAAATCAAACAGTCTTGTTTTTTTCAGTGTTCTTTCTGAAGTAACACCTGGTTGTGCTTCTCCTTCACTAATGCAAGAAACAAAGCTTAGAAATTTCTCTTAAAGAGAGAAAGACAGTTCAGGCTTAACAATATAAATATCCTTTGAGTACACAATGTCTATTACCTCTTAGGAAATCTTCCCACAATGAAGTTGCCTTATTAAAAAAAAATGGCCCTAGTTAAAATGCTCCCATTTTTTCAACCCTGTGATTAGGGGCTGGATTTTGAAACTACATTTAGTGAACTTTAAGACATCCTGGAAGAGAACTAGAGCTGGTTGAGGGGCATTAACCCAAGCAGCTCTCCTACTGTTACTAAGACAGTTGTCAGTGCTGGAGAAGTCACATCTGGTGAGACAGCTCCTCCATGCTCTACTAGAACAGACGTTAGAGGTGTGTGTGTGTGTGTGTGTGTGTGTGTGTGTGTGTTCTCCTCTATGTGTACATATGGATGAGGATAGAAGTGTGAGGGTTTGCATATGTGTGCATGTTATGTGTTTCTGTGTGTATGTACGAGTATATGAAAGCATGAACGTGATGGTGTTGTATGTGTAAGTGTGGTGTGTGCATGCAATGTGTATAAGTACAGGTCAATGTTGGTGTCTTCATTGGTTCCTCTCTACTTCCTTAGTACTTGAAGCAGGTTTTTCACTAATCTTGGAACTTACGGATGTAGCTAGCCAGTGAGTTCTGGGGACCCATCTACTTTTGTCTTAGAGGTGGGTTACAGGTGTGTGTTGCCATGCCGGGCTTTCATGTACGTGATAGAGATGCCAAATCATGCCCCCATGCTTGGAAGACAAAGATTTTTTTACCAACTAAATCACTTCTCAAGCCTGTGTTTGGGGACAACTTAATAAGCTAATTAAGTAGCTAAATTGTGGTATTTACTTATTAGAAAGACTAATATGAAGAATGATTAATAAAACATGGTAGCAGAGTTGGAGGCTGAAACAGGAAAGTGGCCAAGTCTAATACTTGGAGAGAGGTCCCAGAGCACAAGGAAGACAACTATACCACAAAATAGTTGCTGCTGCTGTTCAGTGTTCAGAGGGCTGCAGGTTGACATTTAACCCTCCTCTGTTTGTTTTCCCAGTGTGCAGCATGACCTCTGCAGTTCTGCTCACTAGGGTATGATGATGTGGTGCTCAGAGCAGAGCCTGGGCTTTGTAGGACAGCAGATGTTCAAGAGAAAGCCTGGAGATGTGCTGCTGTAGGGTGACCAATGTGGTCCTGATCCCAGCCTCTCCCATGCTTGGGCTGAGTCCTTGTACATCCTGCTACCTTCTCAAAATGCTCCACACACACTGGGGGTGTGAAGCTCTGAGCCAACAGTTTACATGCCAGCCTGTGATGGATGATTCCCATGACTTCAGACCAACTGGAGCATTGCTCTATATGACAAAAATTGCTATTGTTCCTCTGCTTACATATCCAGTCTCTGTGAGAAACCAAAGGCAACACAGCCCAGCTAAGGTCACCTTCTACAGTGCTGGTCCTGGCAAGACTGAGATCACACACAAAGCAAGCGGGGCCTGGCTTACTGTGCTGAAGACCAAAACTTCCTTTTCTGTTTATCTTTGTACCATTGTGGGGACAATGGAAGCTTTTTCACAGGACAGGGTTATTGTGCCAAGAATTTTACATTTTTGATAAATATTTGTATTCTGTAAGTCAGGTGCTAGAGTAAATATTTGCAAAACAAAACAAAGCAAAGCAACCCTACAAAAACAAAGCATTCGCTACAGGGGGGATCAAATGGCTGTTGAAAAGTTGGTTCTAGAAGCCACATATGCAGTGAAGAGTGGGAGGGTAGGTGTGAGGGCCTCTCCTTGGCTTCTGGAGAGCCAGGTTTGTGATGGCAGGGCAGTGATAAATGACAGGATTCTTTTCAGCAGTTGAAAGGAAAGGAAAAAGGGAGAAGGGAAAATTCAAGCAGCCCCATTTCACAAAAAGTAGACTCCCACGCAGTGCTGCCACAGAGTCCAGAAACACCGTGGGCTGGACAGCCTTCCTATCGTCCTAGGAAACAGCCCGGCATCATTGGGATCTTCTTTTCTTCTTCAAGTTCACTCCTGTCCTCACCTAATGAAGAGTAGCCTGGCTGCCTGCCAAGCTACAGAGTGGAGAGGAAGCAGCACAGAGAGACCTGAAGGCAGGCTGCTTCTGCAGGGTGCATGAGCAGTCTGAGACCCACTGGGATCGTGAATGTGGCGCTGCTTTGACAGCTAAAAGAGTGGAGGGGTTGAGCTGTAGCCAGATGGGTGGAAACACAAATGGGGATGGGGGCTCAACTCAGGGAGTGCATGCTCATGCCGGGAAGCCTTCCAGGCAACAGCAGCCAGGAAAGAGTCACTCTTGGATCTTTCCCAGCCTACCTTCCCTTCCCCTGAAACACTATTTCTGCTGGGCTTGGTGATGCACATTTGTAACCCCAGCACTCCTGAAGCTGAGGCAGGAGAATTGCTATCAGTATGAAGCCAGCTGGGGTTACACAGGAAAACTGTCTCAGAAACACTAAACGAATTTCCCCAGATACTCCCCAGCAACCTACTGTATTCTGAGATCCACACCAATCTGTGAACTATGCAAAGGAAGGAACAGTTCCATGCAAAGGACAGAGAAATGGTAATTCTTTCTAAAATCCTACCACCCAGCATCTCCAGCATTTTGGTGTGCTTCTGTTCTAACCATATTTTAAGAAAATTGTGTAAAATCCTTTACAAAGAATATTCATTTTATGCAATAGTTATTTCATACAATTCAGATGAAAGTAAAAGTTTATCGAAGCCTTTCCCATGTACACAAGTTCACAGTTTTGTTAGGAAGGTGGACAAGGGATGACTTTGGTTAGATAATCTAGAAGAGTTCAATATTTTAGAAAATATTTTTAGATTATCTATGTGTTTTGTCTGTTAGCATGGATGTGCATCCCATGCATGCCTGGTGCTTGCAGAACTCAGAAGAGGGCATTGGATTCTCTGGAACTGGAGTTACAGATGGCTATGATCCGTTAAGTGTGTGCTGTGAACCAAACCTGGGTTCTGGGTACAAGAGCAAGACATGCTCTTAACCACGAGTCACCTCTGCAGCCCCATGGGCAGCTTTTTAAGTGGGATATTAAAGAACAGTAAGATTTTTGAGAGGCACAGATTTAAAAAAAACAAACAAGCCATACTTTGTTTTTAAAACAAGGTCTTATGAGACTCAGGCTGGTCTTGAACTTGATGTAGGCAAAGATGACCTTGAACTCCTGATTCTCCTGCCTCTATCTCTGAAGTGCAGGGATTACAGGTGTGTGCCACCACTCTTGGCTTAAACAAGACATATTTAAAGTGGAAGGCACAGAGAGAGTAAAGGGGTGAGGGCAGGCAGAGCCAAGAGAATACCCCTTTATTTGTGAGCCACATTCTGTCTCAATTTTCTTAACAGGGGGAACTTGGATTGGGCACAGAGATACAAGGCTGTATTCCCTCAAGCCACGGAAGATGAGGCAAGAGGAAGAGGCGGATTTACAGAGAGGCTGGGGCAGACTGAAAGAAATCAATAGAGCCAGGGAGGACCACGGAGTAACACTGAATGACCAGTCAGGTTAGCCAGCAGGACTCAACAGGAGGGCAAATAAGTGGACTCCACTGTCTCCTCAAGGAGACCCTGGGGAGGGCACCATCCCAACATGAGATGGTGGGGAGAAAGTCAGGCAGAAGTTAGACTATCACAAGAGGCAGTAGCAGATCTTTGTGACTGGGTGGGTACGGTCATAGAAGGCAGTTTAAAGAGATCAGCTGGGTGAGGTGGGATGGGAGAAGGAATGCTTGGAATCAATAATAAATAGTCTGGCTAGCCTGGAGGTATTTTCTGGAGGGAGAAAGCAGGGGGAAATGGAGGCCAAAATATATGCTATATTTCAATGTGTATGCAGAGAGGCACTACTTAGCCTAGAAACAAAAGCCCAAAGAGTAAGTTAGCTGAAATAAGCATTGAGTTTGATTTGGGTAATCTGTTCTAATTTCTGAACCAAACAGAACTTGGAAACACTCTGGAAATATACCAGCCTTAGACATAATTGACAGTGGAGTCATCAATGAGCAGGGATACTGGGGTCTGTAACAGGAAGGCTTGGCTGGCAGCCACCTCACTGTGCATGGGAAGGAATGGCTTAAATTACCCCAAAGGCACTTAGGTTACAAACTCTGGAGTAGGTGGAGTACGCCGGCCACAGAAAAAGGGAGCCTCCCACAGAAAATGTACAAAGAACCCTGTAAAGAGTATCAGAACACAGAGACTATTTACATCACCAAGAAGTTTACCTTTCTTTCTCAACCTCTTATAAAACAGAAACACTGCATGGCACATGTCAAAACTAGTAGCTGTAAACTCTCAAGTGCATAAACAAGGCTTTGAATTTTTAATTATGCAATATACTGGAATGTTAATAAGCAAGAAAGCGCAGTAGGCTTTTTTAAACCTATAGAATTAAGAGTTAATCACTTGTACACTGAAACTTAATGATGTATGGTGATTTGAGAAGATGCCAGGCCTTAAAGTTAAAAGCTGCTGCTATGTCTTCTACTTAAAACTCTAGGAATTGTAAGTATTTTGCACTTGGAGCAAAGGGAGAGAGGGTAACTCCACAATTAACACAAGGGGAGGGGTAAAAAAGCCACACAATTACCTCTGGATTCATGATCCCTTCTTTTTTAAAACAGCTGTGAAACATGTCCATGGAAAAGACTTCACTCCAAAGATATCCATAATATTGGCCATCATAGCCTCCAGCCAAATGTCCAAAAGTAGCTGGCATATTTGTGCCTTAAAAAAAGATACATTTCAATCAGTATTATGGCAGATGCTAATTAATCAGGTTATGAACTAGCTAGCTTGCCTTTGGGGAGCCCAGCTGTGAAGAGAGAGTGAATGATAGATAGCATCTCACTGGTTGGTGTGTACCTGTGGTGATGTTTGTAAGCCCTTCTCCTATCAGCAGCTCAGGCCTATCTCTGGAATGCCTAACAACAGTTTCTGAAGCTCTGTCCACACCCTAGCTCAAAGGGGAAAGTCAGACCTTAGATGCCAATGTGCCTTCAAACACTCTTTTTGGCTGAAGCCACACCTCCCCCCCCCTGTAAAGCACGATGTGGGAATCAAGCCCAGCCTAGCACAGGCTAGACAAGCGCACTAATGCTGAGCTACAAATGTGGGCCCCTGCCACACACGTCTTAATATCTAGGATGCCTCTAAATAAAATGACATTGTGTAGATTGATAATTTCTGAAAATGAAAAGCTTGTAAAAAAAAAGATTTACCAGCCAGGAGTTGGTGGCACACGCCTTTAATCCCAGCACTCGGGAGGCAGAGGCAGGCGGATCTCTTGTGAGTTCGAGGCGAGCCTGGTCTACAGAGAGAGTTCCAGGACAGAGTCCAAAACAATACAGAGAAACCCTGTCTCGAAAAACAAAAAACAAAACAAAACAAACAAAAGATTTACCAAGTGAGTCTATACAGGGCTGCCCTAAGCAGAGTTTTGTCAAAGAGATACAACATTGCTCCTTGGTTTACAAGTAACAGACCAGGAAGTGAGGCTTGGGTGAATGATTCAATGGCCCCTCTTATATTATCCTCCATAACTGTGATTCATTTTAGCAACAATTTCCTTGGTGAAAAGGTTCACTTTGCATACATATTAGGGGGCTTAAAAATACACATGTAAGTTTAGACTCATATTCTAACAAATACTGTAAGTAAGCATCGGGGTAGAAACTACCAGTCAAAAGCTTGAACCATCAGAATCAGAAGTGAAGGGGTTCCTGCTTCTCCCTGAAATCCCTTCTGCCCATGTCTTACTGAAAATCATAGGGAAGTCTTGGTGCACACAGGCAGGGAGGAGGGGACAGGCAGGTGCTGCCAAACGGGAATGGCTGTGTTCTGGGGCGGAGGCCAATTACTCACGCCTGATTACACTGAAATGCAGCGACTCTGGAGCCGCCTCTCCTTCAAGCACTTTTGGACAGGACAACTCTTAAGGCAGAGTGTGCTTATCTGAAAGCAATGGTCTCATTACCGAGAGCAGAAAGGAATGAGATGAGGTTTGAGGAACTCCACCCGCCTGGAAGGTTTCACTGATGAACTGATGTTTCATACCTGGCGTAGCTGCAACTCCTAAAATTTCTGTGCAGTATTTAGCATATTCACTTGCAGCATCCAGCGACGCATTGGTATGGAGAGACTGATCAACTTTGCTCAAAACAATTTGGCGAAGCGTCAGGAGACCTAATAAGGTTAAGAGTGTTTGAACGATGTGTTGAGGAGAGAACTATGTGTTCTAACACCACAAGTCAGAGATTTGAATACTGATTCCAGTCCCGCTCATCACAAAACTAACCCTAACCCGACCATTTAAGACTAGAGGAGAGTTTGTCGTTAAGACATAGTCCCAGGCATCTGTCTCCATTCCAACACACTCCAGGCTCCTCCCTCCACGCAGCAGCACTCCTGGGGTATGTCACTAAAGAAAGCCTGACAGAGGGAGCAGCCAGGAGTTGTGCATCAAACGACTCCTATCTAAAAGCTTTCCTGCTGTACAATGTGGAGTCATACCTGTGTTGACCAGTCTAGAAGCAACGAGCTTCTCAAGCAGGTCGTCTGTGATAGCACTTCCATCTTTGTAATGTCTTGACAGTTTCCGCAGCGACTCAACGTCCCACACCCAATTTTCAAGCATTTGTGATGGTACCTCTACAAAGTCAGTTTCCACATTTGTTCCACTAAACCGAGCAAAGTCAGTCTAGAAAGCAAACAAATATATTTTTAAAAGCACTGAGTAAAACTATACACACACAACGAATTGTAACTGAGACCCACTAAAACTGAAGGCAGAATGAGAACAAGTACTGGAGTTATATGTAGGTCACTGGCAGAGGGTTGTCTACTGTGTGTGACACTGTGAGGCTGACCACCAGCTGGGGGTTGGAGGAGAAGGCAGAGTTCCCTAAGATAAACAGTTCCTCCCAAGCTCCTCCTCACAGTTGGTTACTCTTGTTTACTCAATACATGCCTTTCTGGGCATTCACCACTGTTGCTCAACTATCAAGTTTAAATCAGTTAAAGAGTTAAGTCACAACATTCCAAACTGATAGAGGGTGTGTGTGTGTGTGTGTGTGTGTGTGTGTGTGTGTGTGTGTGTGTGTGTGTGTGTGTGTGTGTGTGTGTGTGTATGTGTGTGTGTGTGCATGCCTGTGCGTGTCCATGTGTGATATTTTGTGTTCTAAGGTTTATTACATCATTGATCCTAAGACAGCCGTGGTGTGGAAAGCCTGAGCCGGGCCTTCCAGATCAAGCAGAGAAAGGAAGCCAGTGGCCTGGAAAGTATGCCTGCAAATGAGTTGCAAGTGGGTGAGTCAACGTGGACCGAAAGGGAGCACAAGCAATACACTGAAAGTTCAGAACCTTTGTGGTGGAAAGAAGAGACTCATTCAGGGGGCTTGGGCTAAGAGTTCTAAAACCCAAATTTCAAAAATTCTCAAGTCAGATGTAAAAACTTCCAAGAGAAAGATAGCAATTCCTCACAACAGGCTACTGGCTTTTCTTTCATTTTTTTTTTTCAGGCTAATGTTTGTTTGTTTTCACGAGACAGGGTTTCTCTATATTGTTTTGGAGGCCAGCCCGGCCTCGAACTCACAGAGATCCGCCTGCCTCTGCTTCCCGAGTGCTGGGATTAAAGGTGTGCGCCACCACCGCCTGGCCAGGTTAATGTTTTTTTATCATCATACCATACATACAACAAACTGTTAGCCACACAGAAGAGTTGTTAGAGCTGACCCCACAGGGTTATGTTTGGATGGAGTCCTCCTCTCTCCCTGTGTCTCAGTCCTTACACTCCAGTCTCCCAGACTTCATCACCCCAGGCTCTATGTGGATGGGACAGGCAGAGGACTTAGCCAGCCACTGAGAAGGCAGCAGATGGGCTGCCGAATCAGCAGACTCTAACCATTCTGCTTTTGGCTCAGGGCACAGGCACAGATGTCAAAATGATGGCACATCCTGCCTATGCAAAAATATGCTTCACTTGACTTCACAGTATAATTGGGCTGATTCTACATAGGGAGAGCTGTAAGACAGGCGGTCCAAGGGAAATACTTCACAGTAGGCACTGGAATTAGGGTACATTTGTTGAGGACACCCTCTCTCCCCAAATCTGTTCAAGGAAAGAGGCAAAGATCCCCAGAAACAGAATAATTTTTATGTAATATAAAATATATATAATACTTTTATTTATATATATAAAACCTCCATTGCCCTCCCACATGTTTTACATGTCAATCTAGTTTCCTCTCCATCTCCTCCTCCCCTGCCCTCCACTAACCCCCTATCCCATTCCCTCTCTGCTCCCCAGGGAGGATGAGGCCTTCCATGGGGGAATCTTCAAAGTCTGTCATATCATTTGGAGCAGGGCCTAGGCCCTCCCGCGTGTGTCTAGGCTGAGAGACTATCCCTCTATGTGGAGTGGGTTTCCAAAGTCCATTTGTATACTAGGGATAAATACTGATCCACTACCAGAGGCCCCTTAGATTGCCCAGGCCTGCTAACTGACACCCATGTTCAGGGGGCCTGGTTATGCTGCTTTCCCAGCTATCAGTCTAGGGTCCATGAGCTCCCCCTTGTTCAGGTCAGCTGTTTCTGTGGGTTTTACCAGCCTGGTCTTGACCCCTTTGCTCATCATTCCTCCCTCTCTGCAACTGGATTCCAGGAGTTCAGTTCAGTGTTCAGCTGTGGGTATCTGCTTCTGCTTTCATCAGCTACTGGATGAAGGTTCTTGGATGCCATATAAGGCAGTCATCAATCTCATTATCGGAGAAGGGCATTTAAGGTAGTATCTCGACTATTGCTTAGATTGTTAGTTGGGGTCATCCTTGTAGATCTCTGGACATTTCCCTAGTGCCAGATTTCTCTTTAAACCTATCATGACTCCCTCTATTATGGTATCTTTTCTTGTTCTCCTCTATTCTTCCCCTGACTCAATCTTTCTGCTCCCTCATGTCCTCCTCTCCCCTCTTCTTTCTCCCTCTGCCCTCCTTCCATACTTCCAATTAGCTCAGGAGATCTTGTTCTTTTCCTCTTCTCCGGGGGACCATGTATGCCTCTCTTTGGGTGCTTCTTGAGAGACAGAATATTTTGCCTCATTCTGAAATGCAACATTTTAAGATTACACCCACATTATGGGTAAAACAATGTAACGCAGTATTTGACAGCTAGCACCCAGAGACTTTCCTGAGCTAGGCATTATGTCTGGCTCTTACATGAACAATATGATTTAAATCAAGAAGCTCATGAGATAGTTCAGTTGGTAAAATTTCTGCTGCATAAACACAAGAACCTAAATTTGATCGCCAGCATGGCCAGCATTGATAAACAGGCAGGTGTGGTGGTGTGCACACTTGTGACCCCAGCAGGTGTGGTGGTGTGCACACTTGTGACCCCAGCACTTAGGAGGTGGAAAGAGAGGAGTCTTGCTAGTTAGCTAGCCTAACCTATTGGAGAGTCTCAGGTACCAGTGAGAAACTGTCTGAAAAAGATGGACAACTACTGAGGAACAGTACCAGAGGCTCACCTCTGGCTTCCACACCCAGGTGTACAAATGCACATTTGCACATATATGAATATGCACACACACCTCCCCCAACATGTCTCCACATTACTGTATGATGTAAGTTCCATTACTTCTACTGCCAAGATAAAATAGCTGAAGCATAGACACATAAAATAGCAGAAGTAGGACTTAGCACTAGATGGCCTAGTCCATAACCTAAAATCGTAACAAGAGTGCTCTAGTCTAGTGCATCTTTATTGTACATTACATTATGATATTTCAAAAGTGACCAAATCTTTTAAAGGGGGATCTTAAAAAATAAAATAAAGATTCTTTACCAAATTTCTCCTTTCTGTGAAACATTTGAGTATGTTCCAGAGACAAGTGAATTCTTCTAAGACTGGAAGATCTCTCAACGACTGAACAGGAGCCTGAGGCACACAAGACAAAGCTTTGCAACTATCCCTCCTGAATCAGAGATGCTAACTTCATGGTTCTATGAACCACAGCTTTTAAGGAGATGCTAACAATGCAAACAAGGGAAAATCATGCCATTAGCTACCACCATACAGGTCAAAATTAGAAGCGTTGTAAATCTTGCTTATATGAAGATTTCTAAATCAGTATTTGCAGATGCATACGTGCATGCATGCAACACACACACACACACACACACACACACAGAGTCTGGGGGAAAGGTCTACACAAAGACAGATAGACAGACACACACCACACACAGACACACAGACACACACACACACACACACACACACACACACACACACACACACACACACACACACGAAGGGTCTACTATTCAATATCCAGAAAAAAACATGAACAGATGAGTAACTCATGAGTTAGAGCTAAAACTGGACCAGTAAGAATCAACACAATTATGTCACCAGAATGGACAAGAGAGGGTTTATTCTACCCGAGGCTGTTGTATCAGGGCAGAGCACTGCCAGTGAATGAACAGATCAACAATGTTCCCTAAGGAACAAAACGAAATGTTTGCAAGGAAGGAGTAAAAGCTAAAAATAGCTTGCCTGCTTCCCAGCTTCCCAGAAGTCATCACAGTGTGTCTCTGTGAGCACTTTGAGCATTATCATTTGAGTATTTTTTTCACACAAGGACAAAAAAAGCTGACAAAATTAAAAAGCTCAATTTCCAAGAAACAACTAAACTTCCAAGCCAAAGGGTCCCACAGTCAGCAAGCACACAGAGGGAAATGGAGACTTCGGCTCTGCACAGTGACGGGGCCTCGTGTGCAGACTCAACCACACCACTTCCCAGGTTTACCGTGGAGTCCTAAAGTAATTCTGTTGTGGAATAATCTTTTTGTTTTTTGTTTTTCGAGACAGGGTTTCTCTGTATTGTTTTGGAGGCTGTCCTGGAACTCACTTGGAATAATCTTTTTGTACACTGTGAAGATGTGTCACCCCCTACTGGTCTAACAAAAAGCTGAATGCCCAAGAGCTAGGCAGGATTTTGGGGCAGAGAGGACACTGGGAAGAAGGGTGGAGTTGCTTGCCTGACATAGAGGAAACAAGACATGCAGGACGAGAGGTAAAAGCCATGAGCCATGTGACAGCATGTAGATGAATAGAACCAAGCCTCAGCTAAGGCCAAGTTTCATAATTATTAAGAAGTCTCCATGTCATTATTGGGGAAGATGATGGTCCCAACCAAAAGGCCAGCCTGCCATTTTCCACATGATCCTTAGTGTGATCAATTTGGGGATGTTGAAAATAACAGTTTGGGAACATAAAGCTAGTGATGTTCATCTATCGCCCAGATAAAACTAAATGTTATGACACCCCAGAAAACAATTCAGTGGACAAATTGGACCACACTTGTTGCAGAAAATGTTTTGATCATGAGAGCCTAAAAAACGTGGTTAGCTTAGATTTCTGTTTGGATAGAGATTTTTGAGAGGAATAAAGTTACCTAAATAGGAAATTTTCCTTTCTTTTCTTTTTTTTTTCAAGAAAAAGATGTATTTTGTATGTGTGGCTGTTTTGCCTGCATGCATGTAAACGTACTACATGGAGGCTAGAAGAGGGGGCTGAATCTCATGGAACTGGAGCTGCAGATGGTTGTGAACTGCCACATGGGTGCAGGGAATTGAACCTGGGTCTTCTGCAGGAGCAGCTTTAAAAAAAAAAAAATCAGTGAACCATCTCTCCAGTCCTAAA